AAACCTTTGACCCAGACCCGTCCAAATAATCGCCGAATTGGAAAGTACTCCGGCCCCGTCGGCCCGCGATCCCGTCGGGCGATTGAACCGGACGATGCTCGCCGGTGCGGAACACGGGGCTTCCACTAGCGGTACGGCGGGAGTAGTTGCCGCATAAATTAGTGCGTGAATTATGCAACACGGTCGTTTTATTAAAGGTTGATAAGCGTACTTTGTCGTCGGTCCCGCGACCGCGGAACGCCCCGGGCGTTCCGCCGGGACGTTTTACATTTTATTAATACAGGCGAAGTTCGATGCCCATGTTCTATCATGTTTTACACACGCTACTCATACGGGCCCTCGATATTTTTCCTGCCTCTTTCCTGTATTTCATTTCGAATTTGGTTGATATTTCTCAGTTTCCTCGACAATTTTTTTTCGACATTTCAGCAAACCTGTTATTGCCAGTGCAACATGTTAGCCAATTTGTCCATTCGACGATATTATCTAACTGCGTGATTTATCCACTTGACAAACTGACAATTCGGCAATGTAGCCATAGTCAGACATGTTCATTTGACGAGATCCTATCGGAACTTTTATCAGAATATTTTTAACATCATGCCACGTTTTGTACGTATTGCAATAATTCACAATATCTGGGCAAAAATATCTCATAATGTTTTTCGGCATTTATATTACGTAAAAGCAATTACACAATAAATATCGATTTTCTATCAGAATCCGTTACAAAAGTTTACATTTTTTTCAACAATGGATATAATGTCGCAATATTAAACTGACCTCACTCTTGTATAAAAAATTAGATTTGGTGTATTTGAAAAAACGTTTTTATAGAGAAACGGACGTGTAATGAGAGAAATCGCAATAAAAATCTCCGTTTGTTTGCAACAAATTAATATACCACGGAAAATTTATTGTGATTTATAGCGTTTGTCGACTTTTCGAACAATATCTTCACGCAGCTTGGCATCGTCGATATTTCATCGAGCTATCTCACAATGACCAGCGATTAATGCGCAACGTATCATTAGATTTCGTGAGGCTTCCGTCGAGTCGGGCGAGACCAAACCGCGTCGAATGGTAGGTAACTCTCGCAAGATGCATTCGCCGAGAGATGCATCCATTCGTAACTCGAGCGCGCATATAGATACGTACATACGTACGGTAATATGTACCTAACCCGTTATGGAAATGAGCTCGGGACGCGCGCGCGTCCCGGCGACATCCTCTGCATCGGTAATATGCACCCCGTAAACCCCCTGGTCCCCTGGCTTCCGACGCGCTTCTTGTCACCGTATTATGGTGACCGAACAGTGCATCTTCGGTGCCGCTAAATCCGGACCCAAGAATCCTATCGTGGAATCGGACATTTCTTGTCGTGCAGTTTCCATGAGCGAGGATAACGAGGATTTCAGGTCGCATCGTTGCTCTGATTTAAGAGCCGGGCTACTGGTGTTTTCCTCCTCGTAGCGTACGCGATGTAACGTAAAAGTTCTACAGGATTTCGAACTCGGGATTAATCTCCTTCTTCTTTTCACGGAGATCCGCGAGTATCAGGCAACTCGAATTTTTATGTAATTCTTTCAAAAGGAAAATTTTGTGATTGGAAATATTAAACACAATTGCATTTGATTCAACTTTTTTTTCCTCTGCTTTCTGAC